ATACAGCAGAAGAACTTCATGATAAATAGTTAAACACATTATAGTCAAATGTGTCATAAACTCTGTTTAACAGAATTTAGGCGTTGTCCTGACATGGATGCTTATCCATATTTGCAAAGACAGAAATCCCAGAATGCAATTGTTACAATCAACTCAGGTTCACTGGAAAAACGTTCCTCTGGTGAAATTACTGCAAAATGTAGCCAGAGTGGTGCTAAAAGTGCATTGAGCTCTATTGGAAAACAGATAAATATGATTCTGGCAAAATTATTACATTGTTTGTTGTATGTATTGTGACATTTCAGAAATGAAATGTCAGATTAGTGTTGCTAAAAGGTACCCTAGTCCTAACTGATAGTGTTAACAAAAGCACATGTGACATAGAAACACATTTGCTGAAAGGAGCATGCCATTGTAGCTTGCTTATACAAGAGTATGTTTTCAGAAGTGTCAGAAATGCTACACATAGGTGACACAACTGTCAAAATGTATTAGTTTGCAGCATGGCATGTGAAACACTGCTGTTTGAAATGGAATGAAAGTTGTTGGTGTCTTACTGATGAATTGTATGAATAGGCACATTTTTATTTTAATTCGTTAAAATGTAGGTAGAGACACATTTTTCAGTGAGCATGTTGGTATAAATATACTGATATTTTATTAAATAGAATAAATAATATGGTCTTTTATGTTAATATGCTCTTTAAATGGTCATGAAACCCCCTGTTTCAGCACTGGTTAGTTCTCACTACAGTTTTAAAAAACGCTAAAAAAGTGGGCGTGGTGCGCAGCGGAGCGGAGGAGGGGGAAGAGGGGAGACAGACAACACACACAGCTTCGCGTTCAGACAGTTTCATTTCGCTCCCATCGAGTTAAAAACACAAATAAATTGACAGCCATTTGCACTCTCCATCGAAAACATATGTATGAATGTGCTGTTGCACATCTGAGAACTTTTAAGGCTTATTCTGCGGCATTTATATAAGTATTTTGACGAGTTGTGTCACCTAGCTGTAAAAACGGTTACACTCACTAAGTGAATGAATCGTGTTTGTGCCGAACTCTTATTACAAAGCAAAAACAAACCATGATCCATGAACGTTTCTCTCAGTTAATGTGCGCAATGTCATCTCACTGTCTGAAGCGTCTGTCATAGCAAATCAACACATGCTGTTGTGAATAATTAAGCAAAGCGTCTTCTCATAGGATAAGAACATGCAGTCTCATGAATAATTTAATAGACACCGACGCATCATCGATGTACTATCGTCCTTTGCCACGTCACAAATTGTGACGTCAACGCGATGTAGATTTTAAGCCCGGAAGATGAAAATTTAAGCTTAAAATTATCCAGTTTTCTCCAACAGTTAAAATTATCGGATGCTAACATTGTCTTCTATGATAACACAAAAACCTCTGCTAAAATCTTAGAAAAAGTAGTCTGAGGTTTCATGACCCTTTAATAATACTAATAATAATAATAATAATAATATATTATTTTACTTCTAATATGTTCTAATTCTTCTAATATGTTCTTTATATTATACACATGACTTTACTTAATATTTGTGAGTGATATGTATGTTCATTTAATTTTATATTAAAATAGCATACATAATAGACAATTTTGCAACAGGTAGGATTCAGTTTACACATTCTCTCATTTCTATTGTATCCGCAAACACTTATCGACTGTCATACAACTTAGCAATTCAGTGACATCAAGGCTATATTGCAATTGGTTACTAAGGCACAGATGATTTTAGTTGATTATTAAGATTTCTCCAATTGAAGAGCTGCAGAGATTGGTATCTCCCCACAATAGGAACATCTCTGGTATTAAGTCATTGTCATAGCAACATGCTAACATTACACTCTGTCAAAATCTACTTTCAGTCAATTCTCCAATGCGCTTTACAAGAGGAACACAATGTATGTGGACTGCATGTGAAGAGCAAATGACTGACAGTAGCATCCTAACTATAATGGAACCTCATGAGTGACTCGAAGTGACAGTGTAGAGTGTTCCAAATCAGTCACTTATAAGGTTCCTTTTCAGTTAGGATGCTGCCTTTGTAGACAGTTACCTGTGGGCAGTATAATATTTGCTTGAGCAGGAGAAAAATTGTCATGTATTATTATTATTTATTACTAAAAAGTTGCTGTTTTAGATTAATTAAGTTTTTTCTAATGTACAACACTGTGAGTGTACAATCTGTTCTTTGCTCAGATGCTGTGTGGGTTTGAGTGATATAAACTAGGGGTGCTCCGATTAATCAGCTACCGATCACTATCGGCTGATAATCACGTTGGGATGATTGATCGGCGGTCTCTAAAAAGGCCGAACTCAAAAAAACGATCTGTCACAGGGTGGACATGACGCTGCTGTGAGAGGTTTGGCATGACATGCAGCGTGTCCGTCTCAGTCTCTGTCCGGTGCGGGTAAAATAATTATAATGCTGAAGGTGAGGTACTCACCTTCATATTTCTTCATTAAATAACTTATAAAGTAATTTGAAAACCTTGTGTGAGACGTAATTTCACAAACAGCGTGAGTGAATCACCGCGCGTGCTCTCTCTTTCTCTCTCAAAATACGCAAATGTCTTCAAATAACCACACATCGCATCTGTCTATAAGCGATCTGCACAGTTGACACAGGAATTGTCACTTGCACAATCGAGGCAGTGTCAAATCATCACTAAAGTTTATAAATTGCATTACTTTCTAATTCTCGCCAGTGTTTAACCATTCAGCGCTCACGCGCTCTCCTGGTGCACACTCACAGTGCACACACATAATGCCAGGTTCACATTATTCCGTTTGCAGTGCGCGGTGCATATTTTTTCCGCGCTCATATTAACGGATTAAAGCGTTCAAACTGCACACGGTTGCGGTCGGGCAGTGCGTTCCAGTAGTGGTGCGTCTGCAGGAGTGCAGATCATTTCCACACAGAGTTTATGTTTGTTGTGCTGCAAGCACTAAATTAAAGTAACAGCGCATTGTTCGCCGTAAATATGAACATGGATTGAGACGAAAATGTAGTAATTACACCATAAATGCATATTATTAAAGTCTAATGTGTTTCAGTCAACAGATAGGCTATGACTTTTTGGCTAGGTTTAAAGGGAAATAGCACTTTTAGATAAAGAGGGCAATAATAGATGGCACTCGTGGAGGTAGGAAAACAAAGTTCTTTATGAACCACAGGACTACTTGTAATAAAGATTTAAATGCAAAAGAAAAGGCAGTAGAGCTGACTGTTCCTGCCAATGGTAAGTTTTAATGTTTGTAATAATATAAGAAAAGTAGTTTAGATGTTTTGCCACTTGCTTGAGCAACTTAATAAATCCTGATCGGAGCACCCCTAATATAAACTGTGTGACCAGACTCCACAAACACTGTATTATTATATAATATTGATGATTTTTTCAGATGTTAGGCAGCACTGAAAAAAAAAATGAACTGAGGTCAAGCCTTTCATATATTAATAAAGCACTAGGTACAAAAGTTCTAATTAACTAGGTTGTTTTAAGAATTGTTTAAAAGGATTGTTCACTCAGAAATGAAAATTTGCTGTTACTTCACTCACCCTCAGGCCATCCAAGTTGTAGGTGATTTTTTTTTTCTTTAGTAGAACAGTAAAACGATTTTTAGTTTATTTTAGGTCCTTGGTTATTCATAAATGGCAAAAAAGTCAGTGGCTACTGACACTTTAAGAGTCAAAAAAGCATTTACAGGCAAGAGAAAATATTGAGGTCTTACGAAGCTAAATGATCTGTCTGTGCACGTAACTCAACATTATTTACAACATTATCACCTGTAATCCATAGCCTCAGGCAAACAGTCCAGAGTGATGTCTGGGTCATGAACGAATCATTCTTTTGAACCAGTTCATTTTAGTGAACTGGATGAAATAGTTCACCAAATCAAATTTAACCGACTGAAACAGTTCACAGTTCTGTAAGTTACTCAGTCAAAACTCACTTTCGGACATGCCCGACAGACTTGAAATAAGCCAATATACCTATGTATATGATGCCAGTTTTTGACACATCATTCAGTGCTCCAGTTCCTCCAACAGTACACTGAACTGAGGAAACAGTTCTGATTCGAAGACCAATGAGCTGCTGACATGATAAATAAGAAGCATTGCATTGATAAATAATAAATTTGTATTAAGTAATTGATATTTCAGAAACAACTAAAAACTTGCTATTCTGTTCATCTTTGCTCTATCATGTTGATCTGTATTACAAGCACAGACAAACATAGTGAAACAAACAGTGAAATGCTCCAGTTCAGTTATACGAAATATCAGCACTACTATAATGCTGCTTGACCAATCAGATTAGTAGAACAATCTGTTTAGCAAGCATACATTTGTTAAGCAATATGTAAGTCAGTAGGCATTTTACAAGTTTAATTAGACATAACAATATTGCTTGGGTAGCCATACAGCTTTTATATTATTATTATTATTCTACTTTCTGCTCTTCAGAATTTCCTTTTATCAGTATTTCAGAACTGAAGCCGTCTCTACAAAGTGGTCCTTCAAAAGACAACATGTGAAACATGAGCATGCTAATAGGAATTTTTCATCTCTCGACCAGGCTTGTTTGCAGTAGCTTGGTATAGTGCAAACATCTGTTCGATAATTGCACACCCAGGGCTCCTCTATCCGCTAAAGACGTACAACATTACACATTCAAGACTACATTTTAGATGTCAATTATGCTATCTGATGTTTACTTAACCAAGCCATTACCATGCTAACAGTTCAAGACAATACCTCAACAGCGTTATGAGAGCTGCAGATAATGTGAATGCGAGGGCAGTGGAGCACTAAGCCCTGAATAACAAAAATATCGGGAAGTGTTTCACGGCAGCCCTTTGTCAATGTTGCTCAGAGAAAGAGAGAGAGAGAGAGACAGGCAAGAGGAGGATGTTTTCAGGAAAGGCAGTTTCTTATCTTGATATAATCGCACAGCCGCTCTCATACCTGCTAGGCCGCTGATAACTGACAGCAGGAGAAGTGGTTTCCATGGTGACCCCATACTTGTTCTGGAGGGTCCCTTCTGTGAGATTGTTAGTAGGTCTGTTTCTTCATTAAAGCAGTGCCTATGAAAAACAAGAGGACAGCAGTGAGGGACAGAGTGCATTTAAACTGAATGTGTGAGTGAGAGTGAAAGAAAGAGGTAGGTTAGTTTAGCTAAAAAATTCGGTTATTCTATAAATCATTCTGAAGGGCTCAAACTGATGGTTCAAGAAGTATCAGATATCGGAGCTCTGGAGCAAATCCAGCAGAAACACAGCAATAACAAACAGAACCCTGACTAAAATCCCTTGGTATTACTGTTAATAAATACACCGTGGAAAGTTCTGGCTGGTACACTGTAAAACTGAATTTCATGAAAAGCATGCCAATATCACATCTGAAAATAAAAAAGACATTAATAATAATATTAAAATGAAATTCAATTTAGTTTGAAAATGAAGTCATGACAATTAAAAGCAATTTAAACAATTTGTCGTTATTTTAGCAACTTTCTTTTGGGGGGGGGGGGTTTGATTTTTGGGATGACCCAGGACAGTATGAGAATAAATAAAATATTTTGTCATGTAACACACAAACAAATCTGGAGTAATATTTATTTGGATAATAGTGATGCTTGAATTTATTTTATGTTGGATATTTTAGGTAAATTTGTGATTTTAATTTACTAATATTGTAATTTTTACTATTTGCACATGGTATTACCACAGTATTCATCGGGTACTTAACTTTACCATCTATGCAGTGTTATTTTACTATCATTGAAATACTATTATAATTGTATGTACAGTATTACTTACAATTTTTGGATTATATGTAAGTATCTGAAGTATCATTTAGGTTATATTTGTAGACAGATCATTAGCAGTTACCCAATATATTCCCATTTTTACATATTGGTCAGTGCTTATGCCCATTTAGCATACAGTTGTATTTTGCATGTGTAACCGTCTCAAAATTTAATGACAGGTTTGTTAGAAGACTATAAACATCTGCTTGGATTTGTTTTAGTGAATTTAAGTACATATTGTGATTTATTTTTCTGTGATTTTGTGCATGACTTCATTGCAGTCATTCAATTTTAATGTATGATCGAAATCACGATCAACAGCAAGAATCCAAAAAAGGTCACTCTCATATTAAGTGCAATGGTTCAGTATATGAAACATTACTATCATATGCCTGTATCAAAATGCTACAATATTTCAATCTGATAGCAGCTCAACCATGGCAGTGCCACAGTACTTCTTTTAATAAAGTGAAAACCAGAAGTTTTCACTCCTCCTCTTTAATCAACCCTCACATTGAAGCAGGGTGAGAGAGTGTGCCGGCGTGTGAGTATGCATTAGTCTCCATGATCAAAGCACAGATGAGTATGTTGCTTTAGGCGTGATAGAGCAGCCAGATGCTTGAAAAACAGATACACCGTCCTCCAACCAAACCAAAACACACACACACACCTACGTACATATGGTCAGACCTCTAATGATTGTGCAGCTGTTCATATAAGCACAAACACACACACACACACACAGACAGACACACACGCTACAGCAGGTTTATTTAATAACCTTTTTGCATAAAAAGAGAGCAAATATTAATTTTTGAGGCTGGATGCAATTAATGGAGTCCTGTGGAGAGCCTGAGGAAAGACTGGACATGCTCTCACAGTCTCTCTCTCCCTGTCCTCCACCCATCCATTACTAATAACACCTGCCTCTGCCTCACCTCAGTGCACACACACACACACACACACTCACACACGTGCAGACTGACCGAGTAGCGTAAACCAACAATCCTCATTATTTATATTCATGGCGCCGTGGCCTGCCTATCAAAAACAATATCAATGAGAGTGTTCTGCAGGAGTGGCTGTAAAAAATGTGTCCATATGTCCTACATTTTGGAAGCCACCACATGGTGCGCTTTCATTTTTTTTCCCTGTTTGTCTATTTGAAACTGTTTTCATTTATTTATTTTTCTCATTGACAAGGTCACATTACACATTGCAGGAACAGTTCATGACAAAAAAAAGAAAACTGATTTCATCCTACTTACCCTAATGTTTTTCCAAACCTGTACAACTGACTTTTTCTGGATTTTTAAAGACTATTCTGGTCGCGCATCCCCATATAATGAAAGTGAATGCGTCTGAAAAACACACTCACATGTAATATTTCAAGTCTTCTGATGTCATACAACAGTATGATGAATTTACGTCATTATTACTGAAAATCTTCTGCCCTAGCTCTTTTGATGTGTTTTTTGTGAAGTAGTGTTCTTTTGACTCAGACTTTCCAACGTTTCATTTCATAAAATTGGTCTGAATGAGTCATTCATGAATCAGGCTTATCTGGTTTTCTGACTCATTCGACTTCATTCAAATTGATGTTCTAGTCTGAAACAAAGACAGGCATACAGGTTTGGTACAATATGATGGTCAGTAAATGATAACTGAATAATCAAAGTTGAATAATGAAATGAATAATTTTCAGTTTGTTTAAATAAAACTGAATTACACAACATTTTGAAATTACAGCTCACTATACTGTATGCATTTGAAGTTTTAAGTTCTGTTTCCTGAACACGGTCGAATCTCCATCGTTTGAACCTCATTAGTTCAGCAATTCAGGGCCATTGTTAATGACATTACATGCATGCGGTGGAGTAATAACTTCTGCTATCTAACTGATTAGAGATCTCTAAGATGCTGCTGTATTGAATATGGCACCTGATGACTACCCTGCTGAAAAATCCAGCATATGCTGGTTAGGTATGTTCTGAAGCATGGCTGCTGGTTTGAGCTGGTTTAAGTTGGTCCTTAGCTGGTCATGAGCTGGTTATGTGCTGGTCTTAAGCTGGTCCTGAGCAGGAGCTAGTTTTATATCCTTTATAGCTAGCTTACTGAGGACGCGCTAAAATACATTGACTAAAATGCATTTATATTTAGATAGAATGGAAGATATAGATTGTACTGCATGTTAGCTTTCTTATTGTGCCCTAGAGCATAATTTATTTAAGCCCATATATCTTAATAACAAGAAACTATGCTTCTAACCACAGGTCGAGAGCTGTAGTTCCAACCACGTAAGTTTGCGACGCTGTTTGTTAATGTTCATTTGGACTATGGTTTCGGGAAACACAGAATCGTTGAACTATGTTGGTAACGACGGAACTTGCGACCATAGTTGGCTAACGATGCTTTTGGGAAACGCACCCCAGAATTGCAAACATTGTACTACAGTTAGTCCAGCCCCAGACTCATAACATTGCTTAAATAAATGTATCACACAGATATCCAGCTAACATATTTAGAGCCTGGCGGTCCCAAGTCACCATTCTCAGTTTATATCTCACAATTATGTCTTTTGTTCTTGCAATTCTGAGAAAAACAAAAGTCAAAATTGTAAAATATAAAATCTAAGATAGTCTTAGAACTATGAGAGAATTCTGAAAAAGTCAGAATTGTGAGATGTTAACTAGCAATAGAAATCCAGAATTCAGACAGTCAGAATTGTGAGATAAAATGTTGTAATTCATTCATTCATTCATTAAGTTGTGGGAAAGAGAGAAAGAAAGACAGAAAGAAAGAAAGAAAGAAATGTGCGATGTAAACTCTGAGGGAAAAAAAAGTGAAAAAAAGCTTTTTTTTCTCTCTCTCAGAATTGCAGGTTTATATCTTGCAATTCTGAAATGTGATATCGAAAAGTCACAATTCCTCCCTCCCTCCCTCCCTTCCTTCCTTCCTTCCTTACACATTTCACTTTTGTTGTGTGGAAAAGAGCAGCATGAACATTGTAATAAACATCTCCATTTGTGCTCCACTGAAGAAAATCATGTTGGTTTTGAACGACATGAGAATAAATAGATAACAGAATTTTCACTGCAGCTCATTTATTCTTTTTATAATTTAAATCTGTTCTCGTTTGATAAGCAGCAGTGTTGTAGTACATTATAATCTACAACAATACCAGAAGTTAAAACCCATTTCCCATAAAGGCAAGTTTCATAGCACTGCATGCTTGACAAAATGCTTCCATTCAGTAGTTTATTGGAGTGACTCCTTGAGTAGAAAGGAGCTGTGTGTGTGTGTGTGTGTGTGTGTGTGTGTGTGTGAGAGAGAGTAATAGACTCCTGTGGGAGTGGTACTCCTGTGTATATTTAGTAATGCAGGCTTGCGTCAGGCCTGTCTAAAGTTCATCACACTTGGCTGCTCCACATCAGGCTGTGTGCATGAGCTCTCTCATCGAAAATTCTCTGTCTTTCTCTCCCTCCCACTAACAACGTAAAAACAGGAGGAACATAACTCCAATTTCAGCCTAGATCAGTCATAAGGCTGAGGAAAAATCCTACGTTTACAGACAGGAGGAAGACATTGTCACGGTGCACACACACACGAGGAACGAGGAGACGCTGGAGAATACTTTACCAAGACTTTATTTCTATAGACCAAGGGAGACGAACTCAGGAAGACGTATAACAGCGGACAGAGAACTAGGGACTGGGAACACTTTAAATACACACAGGAGGAGGGGATGACGAGACACACCTGGGAGCAATGAAACATCAAAGGGAAACAGCTGGGACAAATGAACTATACTAATCAGGACAGGAACAGGAAACCAACCAAATAAGGGTATAGGAAGGCACATGGGGAGCAAGAAACACACACAACATGGAACAGAGTCTGACATAACGCCCCCCTCCGGAAGGAGTGTCCTCACGCCGTATCGCATCCAATGGGGAGGGGAGGTGGGCACTCTGGAGGTTCCTCAGGACAGACACGGGACAGTGGGCCTCCAGAGCGGTACTCGTTCCGGGTGCCATGGCGGATCAGGAGCCTCGGGAGGCCATGGCGGAGCAGGGGACTCGGGAGGCCATGGGGGGTCCGGGGACTCGGGAGGCCATGGCGGAGCAGGGGACTCGGGAGGCCATGGTGGA